GAGGGTTTTTTTTTTCAATTTTCAACGTTGGTTTTTCTCCTTTTGCTAATGATTTAAGGCTGCATCATACTGCAAAAAACCACATTTTTCTCTCCTTCTTTTTAGTTGTTCTGTTTCCATAGAGGTGCAGGACTTTATATCGCAGCTACAAATGAACCGACGGCGAGTAAAAATGTGACCAAAGCAAGAAATTCTTGTGGTTCAGACGGTTTAAAAAGTAAAAGCACACAAACAGATGCTAAGTTTTTCCCTGCTAAGGCATCACTTGAATGCTAAACGCTGTTTGCAAACCAGCTACCAGCGCTCACATTTCTGTTTTAATCAGATTTACACAAAAATACAAGCATGAGAAAACATGCTTTACTATTTTTTTTGTCTCCCTAACCTCAGTTCATCACCTGTTTTCATTCGAGTGATTTTTTAAACACATTTGCAGTAACAGGCAGACGCTCACACACGAGCAGCCTTGGTCTGAGTTTGTCTTGTATCCAGGAGACGAGCAGGAATGTGGAGGGTGAGTCATCGAGAGGCGAAAGGACGACACCGTCAAGGTGGCCCGTCCTCTGAGGGAGAATAATTATCTGCTTTAATTAAGTACATTAAACTGTGTGTGTGTGTGTCGGCGGAGGATTACTGGAACCAGAGGACGAATCATTCATGTGTGCTGTTTGTACAAGAGGTTGTGTGTGTGTGTGTGTGTGTGTGTGTGTTTTTATTTCCAGTGTGTGTTTACACGCAGGAATCCGCCGTATTGTTTCACGACGCCACAACGCCCGACACGATGCGCATTTGCATTGCAATGAAGAGCCACGATGGAGTCCAACATCCACGTGTTCTTTGCTGCAGCTGCACAGAAGCTGTCAGCTCGAAGGGAAACGCTTTTAGACGCTGTTGAATTCAGATGAGAAAACACACGTTAGCTCAAGTCCTGCATGTGTTTTGTCAAGATTAGCAAAACGGGGAAGATGCCACACGAGGGCCATCAGATAGAGACAAAAATAACAGCTTCATCTTGAGTATCACACATATAATAATGTAGAGAATGAGACTTATGGAGATTAGCACATCTTTAAACTTTTAACGAAGCTAGGCTAACAAAGTCGCTGTGCTAAGCTAACGAAAACATGCTCCAGATGCAGTGCATTGACATAAATACTACTGGTTGATATTAACCAGGGGCTGCACGGTGGCGCAGTGGTTAGCATCGTTGCCTCGCAGCTAGAAGGTCACCGGTTGGCGTCCCGGTGAGGACACCCAGGATCTTTCTGCGTGGAGTCTCCATGTTCTCCCCGTGCAGCGTGGGTTCTCTCCAGGTTCTCCGGCTTCCTCCCACAGTCCAGAAACATGCTGAGGTTAATTGGTGATTGTAAATTGTCCGTAGGTGTGAATGTGAGTGTGCTTGGTTGTCTGTCTCTAAGTGTAGCCCTGTGATAGACTGGTTACCTGTCCAGGTGAACCTGCCTTCACCCTGAGTCAGCTGGGATAGACTCCAGCCCCCCATGACCCTAGTGAGGATTAAGGTGTAGAGATGATGGATGGATATTAACTAGTTGAACCCCACTCAGCTTCTTTGCTCTGTTACATTTTTCTTCACTGGTGGCTCATGTTTCACTATAAAGCACCTCAATGGAAACAGAACAACCATGACTAGAAGGAAAAAAACAACTCAGACATTACATTTGTACAGAATAACACAGTTTAAATGCCAGATGTAAAAAAACACACCAAAAAACTGGAACCAAATGGTGGTGACAGATATTTAAAGGATGTTTCACCATGCTGAATGTATCGTCCAACAACTCGCTCTATTTTTGAGCGATGGTGCGTTCGTTTTTCTTGCTCAGATATCTTGTATTATATTGTATTGCATAGCGCCTGAATTTTTGTCACGTGACTCTTGATTTCGGTCACTCATGGTGTCTTGGTTGCACCGAGGAGCGCAGAATTTACAGAATCTGGTTCGTGCAAAGGGTGTATTTTTGGCAAATTTGTGAATGAACATCTGGGACACGAGGACACGACGACGTCACACGCAGCCATCATGCTCATTGTTTACTGAAGTAAACATGGATGGTAACGGTGGAGCGTATCTGCCACTCCCCCGCCGCCACCGATGGAGGAAACAGAAGTGTGAGCGCTAACTAAACTAGCATCAGCAGCCAAGTACTGCCTGTGTGTTCTGGACACTTCCACCCCGTCAGAGCGCTGCCCCGGGGTGGAAGTGTCCGACACAAGCGCAATTAGGCGTGAAATCCAGCGATGCGTAGTGTTCCAACAATACACTAGTTATTATAACAACTATAAACAATGAATATTAACAACTAATGAGCCTTCCAGCATCAAGCCCTCCTCGTATCTGGACCTCCGTCTTGACAATCCGACAGCCTTGCTTTCCAACATAAAAGAAGGTTTTACATTTAGTGTCGGATTATCGAGTCACGGCTGTACTTCAAGTTGAAAATATGACCATTCTTTGAGTTTTTACAGGTTTTAGCTCTGATACATGGTGTAATTTTGGTATTTTTTTTTAAAACAACAGCATGTCTTTTAAACCTGCCAGCGGGTTTTAGGGTTTGGACGGTTAATTTTATTCGCAGCAGACATCCGCAAATCGTGTCTTTAGTAAAGCTTTTTTTCAGTTTTCAGTTTTATTGACACTTTCTGAACAGAAACATTGAACAGATCTGAGATATTCGCCGTCTCACAGGTGAAACACTTGGTGTCAATACTCGTTCGGTACAAATATATAAACTCCTCACACGTTTTCTGTTCAGTTCATATTCCAAACACTGCAGCAGTCACAAAACAAAGAGAAGACAAACAAGGAAAAAAGACTGAAGTGAAAACAGAAATTGTACAATACAAGCATCAACCAAACGCATCAGAGCTGATTGATAATCTTCGCTGATAGCACGAAATGATAAAGAAAAAGGCTTCTTTTAAATACGAATTTAACAAAAACTAACCTTCTGATAATGTGGTTTTCACAGTTCTTTAAATAAAAAAATTAAAAAATCACACAGGTTTACTCCGGCTGTAACAGTTGATGTGTCTTTAAGGAAAATATGTTCTGATCCATCTGGAAAAATGTGGAAAATGAAAATAATGATACTCTTGGTGCGTTCTGTAAATGTCAGACAGTAATTATAGTCGCTCGCACATTGTGTTTCTGTTATTCTGAAATACGTGTCAGTTCTGTCTTCTGCATATCATGTCTGATAATCCATGCTAGCTCCATGCTACCTAGCTACATGTAGCACTAGCATCTGCCCAAGTGATCAGATTTTGATATTCAGTTAAAAATTCCAGTGTCCACGCTTTCATTCACGCTGCCTTCATGACACAAGTCACGACAAATAAAATAATCTGTCTGTAAAATATAAGTAAGGTAAGTAGTCTATGCTACCTAACTATCTAGCTAACGCAGACGATCCTCATTAACAAAAGCATTAATTTCCATGTTTTTCATTTTGAAATACATTTTAGAAATGTCTTCGTGACACAATTTATGATAAATTAAAATATCTGTGGAACAGTTATCTTGTACTTGCAAGTAATTCGTGCTACCTTACTAGCTAGCTAACAGTGCATTGCAGTATGTAGCATTTTCCACAGTGAACTGGACTTTTATGCTAAAAATTCAAGCCCCTGTCCTTTCTTAGTGTTTACATGGACTTTTAACAGGTTTTTTCAGGTAAAACAGAAGTTATTTAAGTTAATAACTTGCTGGCTAACTAGCTAGAGCTGCAAGTAGCAGTTGTATTTTCCAGGTAATGGTACTTGCACATGAGCCATGCTAGCTGACTAGCTGGCTAGCTAACAGTGTGTTGGAGTCTGTCGAACTAGCTTTTGCACTGAGAACTAACAAAAGGCATTTTTAGCTGGACTTAAAACACTTAAAGATTGTCGTTTTGACTTTTCCATTCCAAATGTTAAACTTTTCACTGGGTTTAGAATTAAAAAAAACAAAACAAAACAGTTGCACCCAAAGAAAATCTAAACTCAGAAAACACCACAACACTGCTGATAATACGTTAGCTGCAAGTATAAAAAATATAAGTAGTTCTTGCATCAACAGATATAAAGTGTCTTTACTGAATGTGACGTTAACACTGGCTAACCGTTTTTGGCAAGCTAATCGCTAACAAATTCTCTTTATGAAACTTTTAAAAATTTGTTTTGATTGAAGATATTGTTTTAAATATCAGCTGTTTATTCTTTTATTTTAAAAATGCAAGTGAGAGGCAGCCAAAAAACCTAAAACTGCCCGTCAGAAATGAAGAGTAAAGTTGTTCATGTTTGGCTTGCAAACAGTCAAACAGTCATGATCATAAACACAATCGGTTCTTTCTGGGGGTTAAATCAAATCATAAAGATGGTGGAAATGTCACAGTATGCACAGTTATGTACTGCAGTGGCTGAGGTCTCTGATGTTGTCCTGAGGGTGAAGGAAGGAATTACATAGTGACAGAAATAACAACGACAAATGTCTGAAAATGCAATTCACTGAACCAAAATGGAAACAAGGTAGAAATACAAAAACAGACTGGATGTAATAGAGAACACCATCAAAAGACAAAGCGATAAGGACAAAAGGGTGAGGTAGAGAAGAGACGGAGAAGAGTAGAAGGAAAAGAAAGCAGAGGTAGAGGAAGCAAGTTGGAGAGAGAAAAAGAATAACATGAAGAGTTAAAAAACACAAAGAAGCAGATGCTCTAGTTTCACATTGACTCGTCCAGTGCTAGTAATCGTGGCGTTTCTACCTGTGGTGCTTAATGAGAACCAATAATTGCTGCCACGATGCCGATCCAAGACTCCAAATGAGAAAAATCCGACCTGAAGAGAAGCCTCAAGATTCGTCCGGCTGACTTAAAACTGTACATCCAACCCGGTCATGGTGTCCTCAGTACCATCCATTCGAACCAAAAAGTACCAAACCCCATTAGCGTCCACCTGAAGAATGAAACCTTTAAAAATGTTCTCGAGGCGGAAATTAAAGTTCAGACGGCAAAGTCTCCATATCCGGTGGGACAAAAGGCGGAACTGCGGAGGGTATCGAGGCAGTTGACGAGGATTAGCGTGCCGGTCAGGTGCTTCCATCTTTTGGTGATGGGGTTCCTCATCTTGTCCAAACCAAGGTGGAGCTCCTGGATCACGTCCCGGTAGCTGTCGCCGACGTGGGCGGCCCACGTCAGCAGGAAGTCATAGGCCGGTTTCCACATAGACTAAAAGGTTCGGGGTTGGGGTCGGGGAAGACAGAGAAGATGTTATTTCAGGAACAGAAGGCAACAAGAGTTTCCTGTCGTTTCCTGACGACGTTCTACCCTGTTTTCCTGACTTCCTAAAGGAGGGGCATGTAGGGCGAAGCAAAGACACTGAAGGTGCATCAAAGAGAAGGTAGTCACTGTAGTTTGGCCCGTTTCTTTGGCTCGCTCAAGTAACGACTGCAGCCAAGATATAGATCTTTTGGTCGCAATTATGGTGTCTTGAATCCTTCGTGTTTAATTGCTGCAATTTGCGTTAAATATCCTCTTCCTTATCAGCCAAATCATACCAGGCAGACATGGCAGGAATATTTTTAGATACCCATGCGACTTACACAACCTGTAGATATCTCCTACCTCACCTTACTTCTTATATTTATTGGAATAAATGTTGTAGAAATGTTATGAAAAAGATGTTCCCAACAACTCCAGAACCTTCTTGAGGATCATCACAACTTAAGGTTTTCTTTGATATCAATTTAACCCATTGACAGTTGTTGGTACATCTGTCACCAAACAGGAGGCGCCAAAAGCAAATGTGGATACTTCCGCTGGTGCTAGTTTGCCAAATTGTGCACACGACTGCAGCACACAGCTAACTCACTGACTTCATGGGAACTGTAGTTCCTTAGAAGACGATGAACAATGGCGTCTTACCTCATTGTCCAGCAGACCGTTCTTGTCGCGGTGCGGAGCTTCATAAGCCTCCATCTGCTGCCGGGACACTCGGGCCAGTTTCTCGGCCAGCTCCCTCCACCGGGACGCCACCTCCACCGCCGTGGTCAACAAGACGAAATCCAGGACCAACCTGGCAACCAGACCCTGGCAGTCCATTTTCAGCAACGCCTGTTGGGTTAAAGACAGGAAGAAGATCAACGGGGGAATGGGCTTTATTTAAGACAAGGTGGTAGAAGGCCTCCTGCTTTCAGTCACCGGACAAGTAAAAACAACGTAGCTGGAATCTCTGGAAAATAAGTTTAATGGAAAAGATGATTACAACTCGACTCATTTCGACGTCATTTCACAGACTGAAAGAAACTAGAACCAAATAATAACCATTTTACCCAGCTATGGTTGAGGACCAAGCACACAAAATAGGTTAAAACAACAATTCATGGACACATCTTGGGTGCCTTCCACTGGAGGGTTTCTACACACATCCAACTGGGAGGAGACACTTCAGAGAGACTATAGATGGTTTCTGGCCTGAGAATACCTCAGGACCTTTTAGAAGAAGACTTGACCCACAGATAACCAGCTGAAAACTATCCAAAACCAATGTGGTTCCAAACATGTCTTGTCTAGGGGGAACTGTCAAGACCCTGAATGACCCAAATGTAATCAAAACTCTGCCAATTCCAACTTCATTTTCTTAAAAACAACTTCCCGTCGCTTCAGAACAGAAATGATGTACAATGTAAAAAAACAACGTTAAAACCATTTACTGTCATTTTATAAAATTTGCCTGTTTTGTTAAATTACAGATAATAAGTAAAATCACCCAAAAAAAAGTATTAATTTACATGTTAACCACAATAAACATGTCAAAACAATGTGTATTTCTACAAATGGTAATTAGTTGTTTGTTTGTTTGTTGTTTCATGATTTGACAGTAAAATTAGACGATTTTTACTGTATTTAAATCTGAAAAAATGCCCTCTATAATTAAAAAAAAAACAAAAAAACCCCAGCATATTAATTTCTAAATGATATAATGCTGTCTTTCCCTGTTTTGTTAATGTACATCTAATATCTAGTAAAATTATAGGGAAAAATAATCTACTTGTTGATTATATAGAGAAAAAAACCAAAAATGCCAAAACTGTCAATTTTTTAAATGCTATTACAAAAAAATCTGCATTTTTACCCTAAAATTACAATTGTGCTGAAAATATATTTTAAAAAATTAAAATTATTTTACTGTTTAAAAAAAAAAACATTTTACAGTTTTGATTCTGTCAGATTTTCTTTTTTATTATTATTTACAGGGTAAATCAGTTTAGTTTCTACAGTGTTTTGGTCATTTGGAGGCTGTTTAAGAGCGCTGCACAGTGTGTTTCTGTGATGTTGTGATTTATTAGCTCGGTGTTCCTACTAAATCATTTGTGATTTTTCAAGGACTAAACGTTTGAATATATCCCTAAAAATTCTGAGAAGTCAGAAAAAACTGTCGAAGATGTATATTTTGGGGGATTTGCACGCTGAATAGCGAAAACAAAAGCAGGGAGGAAACACGTGTCGCTGTATGAATATAATCCATGAGTAAGTCGTGCCGGCCTTCGGGCTGCTGCATCCTCACTCAGCTAACTCGGTTAAACGGGGGTTAAAAAGTACCGAGATTTAATAAAAGCAGCTGACTGGAAAACACGCCCCGGGCGAGACAGATTTTCTCTTTTCTTGAAAAGCGGCGCAACAGCCACTGAGATGTTTTTCCTTTTTATTGAGCGAGAAATGCAGCTTGTGTGTGAATCCAGAGATAAGATGTCGAGCATCAAAGCGAGGCTCGGTCCTGTTGGTCGAGCCTTTCAAGTTCTCTGCCGAAAGCCCCAAAAAGAAAGCAAGTGGATGCATATCTGCTCTTTTTTTTTTTTTTTCCTGACTGTAACCTAAACAAACTCCATCAGGGCTGTAAACACAAGTTTTTAGGACTCTCACCCAAAGATATTTATAACCTCTAAAAGCAAAACGTCAGACACGAGCTCTGCACAGACATAGATGAATTTTAGAGCTTGTTTATGTGGACATGAGAGACGGGGAGAAGCTTTTATTTTGAAAGGGCTGCATAAACTACAATTATCTCATCGTAAGCTTCGACCTTTAAGATATAAAATATCATCGTTGTTTAAGTTACAACCAAAAATGACATTTAGCTGCTGAAATCAAATCAGTTCATCCACAAGTCTGATGCTTTTTTAAAAATAAATTAAATTCCCTGAAGGCAGCGGGACAGACGGATGAATGGACGCTTACATTTTTCATTATTTCAAAGCTAATTTTTTTAATACTGCTTGTTTTTTTTCCAGCAAAACATATTTGCATTTTTTAATTACCTCTGTGAAAAATAAACATGAAGTATCTCACGCTGGTAGCAGGACAACCGCCTGGCGACGCCTCAGAATCCTAAAACCATCAGCTCAGGATCAGTCTCCACTTTCATCAAAACACTGTCAGCTCATAGCTTCCTTGTTCTGTTCTTCCTCCTTCCCTTTCTTTTTTCCTTCCTTTTTTCTCCCTTTCTTGTTTCCTTCCTTCTTCCGCCCTTGTTTCTTGCCTTTCTTCTTTCCTTCGTTCCTCCTTTTTTGTTTCCTTCCTTCCTCCCTTCTTACTTCCTTTCTTCTTTCCTTCATTGCTCCTTCTTTTCTTGCTTCCTTCCTTCCAACTTAACTTCTTACTTCCTTTCTTTCTTCTTCCCTTGTTTCTTGCCTTTCTTTGTTCCTTCATCCTTTTGTTTCCTTCCTACCTTCTTATTTCCTTCCTTCCTTGTTATTTCCGTTCTCTCATTTCTTTTGCCATTTCTTTCTTCTTTCTTGTTTTTCTTCCTTCCTTCCTTCCTCTTTCTATCAATCTCTCCTTGTTTGATTCCTTCCTTCCTACCTTCTTATTTCCTTCTGTCCTTTCTTTCTTTCCTTCTTTCTTTCGATCCTTCCTTCTTCCTTCCTTCTGTCCCTCCTTCCTCATTCTTTCCATCTCTCCTTGTTACATTCCTTCCTTCCTATCTTATTTCCTTCCGTTCTGTCTTTCTTTTTTATTCTTTCCCTCGTTTCATTCCTTCCTTCCTTCCTTCCTAATTTTCCTCCTTGTTTCCTTTCCCCCTTCTTCCCTCCTTTCATCAATTCCTTCCTTCCTCTTTCTATCCTTCTCTCCTTGTTTCATTCTTTCCTTCCTACCTTCTTATTTCCTTCTGTTCTTTCTTTCCATTCCTCCTTCTTCCTTCTGTCATTCCTTCCTCATTCTTTCCATCTCTCCTTGTTTCATTCATTCATTCCTTCCTTCCTTCCTTCCTATCTTCCGTTCTGTCTTTGCTTCCATCCTTCTGTCCTTCCTTCTTTTATTCTTCCCATTTTTTCTTTCCTTCCTTCCTTCGTCCCTTATTTCTATCCTCCTTCCTCATTTTCTTCCTCGTTTCCTTCCTCCCTTCTTCCCTCCTTTCATTACTTTCTTCCTTCCTCTTTCTATCCTTCTCTTGTTTCTTTCCTTCCTTCTTATTTCCATCCATCCTTCTGTCGTTGTTTCTTTTATTCCTTCCCTTGTTTCTTTCCTTTTATAATTCATCTCTAATTAATTAAATATCCTGAAAGACTAGAAGCTCTTTTCATTTTCATTAACAGAAATAATCCCCTTGACAAACCGTCACAGTCCTTTTATTTATCTCCATCTCGTCGAGGCGACTTTAGAGGATCTTTGTATAAAAAGCACGAATCGTGCAGCAAAGTCTCCAGTAGTTCTGCACAACAGAACCAGTTTGGATTTGATTTAATTAAGACTTTAGAGGAGGAGTGGAGCGTTTGTGTGGCCGAGGGTTGAGGGCGGCGGCACATCTGGCCTCGACTGAAATCAGCTGGAAGGATTATTAAAGATTTAATCAGCTGCTGTCGAAGCGCACAACATTTTCTTATCGTGTACATCTCATCGTGTGTTTATTAATTCACGGACGACTTCTCCGTAATGTGACATATATATATATATATGTGTGTGTGTGTGTGTGTAAAACTCTCGTGTTTGTGAGTCAGACGAGATGAATCATGTTCAGAATCGTCTATTCTGAAGGAAAAAAAACAACAAAAAGCAACAAGAAAAGATGAGAGTCTCATTTTAATCCATCATCCTGAGGAACTTGGAGTTGGAGGGGTTCATAAATGTCACTAAAGCTACAAAAAGAGCATCAAATGGGGGCATTTACTGCATATTTTAATATTATAATGACTTATATCAGCTTCATGTCAGACAAAATTGTGTTTTTTTCTTTTCTAAGTGGACGTTTTTGGCCACATTTGTGTATATTTAAGTCTTTTTTGGTCTCACTCAGGCTGCTGATCAGGATTTTTGTTTTTAAAATCCTTCTTTAAATGTGGAGTTTGTTTCTGACTGAATTTAAGATTGAAACGTGACGGAGGAGCAGCAGCAGCGGTGCAGAGCTTCGGGGGGTTAAAGTGGATTCTGCCGTATTAAGAGACGTCGTGTTGCTATTTCGAGCGTCCGTTATCACGTCTCCATCTCATTTCGCAAAACGAATTTCAAGTTCTGGGCTTTTTTTATGTAAATCATTTTGGCGGAAACGGCTTTCGGTTTCGTTCTGGAGAGCTGGGCCCCAAAAAAATAAATAAATAAAAAATAAATAAATAAATAAACGTTTCCTGACGAGGAAACCTTCAACTGTGCAGCCTCGACTTAATTTGATGGAGCTCGAGTGGTTTTTACTGATTCAGCCTCTCTGTCAGTCAGCTGCAGCTTCAAAGCTCCACGCAAACACACACACACACACACACACACACACACACACACACACACACACACACACACACACACACACTGCAGACACCAAAACATTGTAATCTGCATGAAAAAGGCCTCGTTTCATTCTCATTTCTCCGCCCGTCCGTCACTCACGTCCACATCCATGACGGGTGACGGTCTGCTGGTAAATTATCTGATTCACAGTCGCACTGATCGCTTCGAAAAACTAAACAAACAAACACGACTGGATTCAGATTTCATGATAATTTATCGCTGGTCACCTTAAAAACACGATAAATCAGAGCTGAGACGATCAGCGGATCCAGCGGTTGCTCAGCCGACTTTGTGATTTGCATTTATTCATTATTTTTAAAACACAACTGCGGCTTTGA